TGGTGGATCTGCAGGTGCTGCCCTAGCTGCTATGCGGGCCACACCCCTGCTCCTACCACGACAACGACCTCGTCCTCGACCTTTAGTGGCCACAGCTAGTGGTACTGGTGATCGTCCATCCTGACCGGTAGCGCATGTCCTCACCATCTTTGAGAGAATAGAATAATAGAAGTTTAGTACTCGGATCAACAGATTTGCACGACAAGAATTTCAAGAATATGAAGTTTTCCTAAAGGTTCTGCAGCCTCTCGAGGATAAATACAGACGTTTCAGTACCGATCCACGAGACTCTACTAAACCTGCTCATGACTCGTGAGACCAATGTAACCTAGGCTCTGATACCAAGTTGTCACGACCCTAAACCCAGACTCGGTCGTGATGGCGCCTCTCGTGAATACAAGGCCAGCCGACACACACCCAATTCATTTTAAGCAATTATGATAATACAAATTAAGTCTTTAACATGATAATAATCCCAAAATAAAAGTGAATAATACAGTTTGCGGAATAGACATAGCCCGACATCGGGGTATCACCAGTCATGAGCATTTACTATCCGAATAAAGATAGGAAAAGTCTACATAGTCTATTACAGAACTAAAACAAAGTAAATAAGATAGGGGGAGAAGCACTGGGCTGCCGACGCCGAGCAGCTACCTAGTGAATCTCCGAATCCGCCTGAGCTGGAAGAAGTCAACACTCGCTAGCGGGACCCGAAGCGCCTGAATCTGCACACAGGGTGCAGAGAGTAAAGTGAGTACTTCAACTCAGTGAGTAATAATAATAAATGAAGACTGAGCGAAAAGAAATCACGTAAAAGCACATCAACATGCTATAAAGAAGCAGTATAAAACAAGTAAAAGCAATGAAACATTGAAAACATATAAAGACACCTTGGTTCAGAAGAATATTCTTTAAAACACCTTTTTTAACAGCTAAACAATTAAACGAAAAGCGACTAGAATAGATAAACACGTAAAATCCGCCCCTCGCGCTCACTGGGGTGTACAGACTCCGGGAGGGGCCCCTTACGGCCCAAGCGCAATATCAAGTCATCTCGTGGCATAATCAGTAGGCTCTCAGTCTCATATCAACAAGCCACCACGTGGCGTACAATATCAGGCCCTCGGCCTCATAATCATAAATCAGTATATCCTCACAACACAGGCCCTCGTCCTTACTCAGTTAGAATCTCATAAGCCACTCGGGTAACAGTAAAACATGATGCTCAGCTCAAATTATCATTTAAAATATCATTTAATGTGTTAAAACAGAGTAAACATGGCTGAGTTATAAAAAGAATAGAATATAGCATGACTGAGTACAAGTATAAAGCCAAAGCAGTGAGGAAATACCAGTAAAAATCTCCTAAGGGTCCAAATAGTTGGCACGAGGCCCAAATATGGCATTTAGCCCAAAACATGATGATAGCAAATAGTTTTCAATCAAATACGCGGTAAAACAGTCATTCGAGATGGACTAAATCACAATCCCCAACGGTGCACGGCCCCACGCTCGTCATCTAGCATGTGTATCACCTCAATATAGCACAACGATGTAAAATTCGGGATTTTATACCCTCAGGACAATATTTACAATCATTACTCATCTCAATCCGGTCCAAACTCTAGCCCGTGATGCCTTTGCCTCTCGAATCGGCCTCCGGATGCTCCAAATCTAACCAAAATCAGTGCAAAACCATCGGAATATGCTAAGGGAACAAAGCCCACTCAAAAGAAATCAAATTACAACACAAATCCCAAAATTGGCCAAACCCGACCCCCCGGGCCCACGTTTTGAATTCCGATAAAATTTACACCAATAGGCTCCTTATCACTCCCCGAGTTCATTTATATCAAAAGCATCAAAATCCAACCATAAACGACCCCTCAAATCCCAAATTCTAGGTCTCCAATTTCAATCCCTAGTTCTTCAATATTAGGCTTAAATTCCATGATTAATTAGGTAGAATTCACATTAGGAACAAGTATTAAGTCCATAAATCTTACCTCCAAGTGTTCCCCCTTGAATCCCTCTTCAATCCTCCTCAAAAAGCTCCAAAATCGCCCGAAAATGGTGGAAGTTGGCCCCAAAATCGCGGACAATGGCTATTTAAACATTCTGCCCAGGCATTAAAAACCTTCTTCGCGAACGCGGTCAAAGCCTTGTGTTCGCGAAGTACAAACTGACGTTGACCACATTTCCTCCTTCGTGAACGCGTCTGACCTCTCGCGAACGCGATGCTTCCTGGCTCCAACCTTCACGAACACGGCTCCCCTTCTCGCGAATGCATAGCTCAATAGCCCAGCCCTTCCCGAACGCGGGACCTCCATTGCGAACGCGAAGGCCAAATCTTCAGCCTCAACTGCTAAACCTTCGCGAACGCGAGGCTCCACTCGCGAATGCAAAAGCTAAATGTCTGCAACACACACACAACAGTTTCTACAACTTTCACAACATGAAATGGTCCACTTAACCACCCGAAACTCACCCGAGGCCCCCGGGACCTCAACCAAACATGCCAACATATCCCATAACATCATTCAAAATTGTTCCAATCTTCGAAACGCTCAAAACAACATCAAAACACCAAATTCGCATCGGATTCAAGCCTAGGAATTTGAAAATCTTCTAAATTACGCTTTTGATCAAAAAGTCTACCAAACCACGTCCGAATGACCTAAAATTTTGCACACACATCCCAAATGACACAACGGAACTACTGCAACTCCCGGAATTCCATTCCGACCCCTATATCAAAATCTCACCTATCAACCGGAAAACACCAAAATTCCAATTTCGCCAATTCAAGCCTAAATCTACTCCGGACCTCCAAAACACATTCCTATCACACTCCTAAGTCCCAAATCACCTCCCGAAGCTATATGAACCATCAGAACTCACATCCAATCCCTCTAACACACAAGTCAATATCCGGTTGACTTTTCCAACTTAAGCTTCCTCAAAAGAGACTAAGTGTCTCAAACCTTACCAAAACCTTTCCGAACCCGAGCCAACCAACCCGATCACATATAGAACCGATAAACAAAGCAATAAGAAGCAGAAATGGGGAAAACAGAGAGGTAACTCATAAGACGACTGACCGGGTCATCACATTATCCTTTAATTTTTTGTTGATACAAAATAACCTTCAAGAAATCACTTTATAAAATTTTTTACCTGTTTATGTTATCATTTTCCTTTGTCTTAATATAAAGATTTATTTTTTCACTAATTCTTCATTTCTTCTTTACTTTTACGAGCCTCATTATATATCTCCGACACAACCTACATCACAAAAGATTTTTGTTTAGAAATTGAAAAAAAAAATTAAGATGATAATGTAATGATACGTATTATGCGATGTTTTGGGATCATAGAGAAGAAAGAAAAAAATTGACAAAACAAAAACTACAAAGGAAAAAAGAATCGAATCTCACTCATTTTCAGGTAAGATTTACTTAGCTCGCTCCTTGCCCGCGGAGCAGCATACAAATAAAAAGAAAAGTGTTATCAGATTTCCATCGATGACTTAAGCCTCTTTCTTAAGGGCCTTATCCCATAAATAAAGGAGGTCGGAATTGGTGAAAATTGGAAGGACTTTAGACTTTCGGAAAAAGGGTAATTAAATTGGAATTCAAACTTAGGGCTTAACAGCACCTTCAGCGAAGAAATTGTGAACCGCCGTGACCAAGTCGTCAACAAAAATATTCCAACAGTGATAATAAAAAAAACTTCACTTAAATCTTCATTTCTTCTTTACTTTCACGAGCCTCATTATATTTTATATCAAGTATTAAATTTTTTGGAAAATGCAAGAGGCATTAGTGACTAAAATCAAATATTCCCGTAAGTGTGAATATATTTTTGACATGCAAAAATATATTAATTATTAAGTATACTTTGGAGTTGTGGAATCATATCTTCTAATACGGATTGGGTCTCTTTTGATAAGAAATGAATATTAAACTTCAAAATAGTCAAATTTAGATTGCCGACGAAACTTAGAAATTTTTTCTTGAAAATGATAGTTAAGGTATCACTCCCAAACAGATTTGTTATGATAGAATGCAAAATAAGAATGTGTTAATTAGGAGATAATATTAGGAAACAAGATTCAGAAAAAGTCTACGTGATAAGGTTCTTTATTTTGTTAATCTGTTTTTAAAAACCAAAAATAGCTGATGGCTTTTAAGTTTTTAATTTTTGTTTGTACGTAGCAACTACATAAATAAGCTAATTTTCGGTGGTATAGTTGGAATTAGTTGAAAACACAAATGAAACAATATATAAATTTTGAGGAAGAATAAAGTGATTTGAATTGCTTTTGAGGTTAAAATTTATAGTTAAAATCGAATTAAAAAAATTTTCTACAACATATGTATCTAATATCACTACAAGAAATATCAGATACGACGATATTTTATAAATGTCGGTGTAAGCATATAAGTGTCACAAAAACACTTACCGACATTTGTTTTACATTTAAATTAAATATCAGAAATTTCAATGTCGTTTTTTTTCCCGATATTTGAATAAATGTCGTCAAATAATTTGTGACATTTAGTTATGACATTATCAAATGTCAATAATTTGAGTTCTTAACCATTTTATGTGTGACATATATCGTTAAACTTTTACTAATAGTTTTGAATATGAATGTGAAAACAATTATTAGTCATGGCTAAATATTCAATCACAGATATTAATATATCAAAAGAAAACAATTAATTAATTAATTAATAATAATGTATTCGAAGCAACATCGACTCTCATTCCAATACTTTAATTCGCAGTGAATCAAATACACAGTTACTTCAACATTCAATGACATAAACTTTTCCTTAAAAGTTCCAAAACAGTCAACGCCGGTCATAGTTTTAGCTTTAGTGTTACTGTTTTCCTCAAGTGCAAGGATTCCTAGTTGCTCTCACATTTCTCTAAACCCTTCTTCCAAGAACTGAAATTAAAAAAGAAAAGAACCATTACTAGCTAACTGATTTAGGAAAACTACTAAGTAGCAAAAAGAACAATATAATGTGATTGTACCTCATATAATATCTTGAAGAAAAGTACAGGAGTGCTACTATCTGCAACAAAGAAGTACATGAGTCATGCGACTGCTACTATCTGCAACAAAACGTAAAACAACATTCAATAGTATTTAAGAGAACTAAATCAATTCGGCATCATTAGCTTATGGAAAAGATCATTCCACTAATGGAGATGGAGTTACATACAAATGTAGCAAGTGTTTCACAAATGCCAGCCGTTTAGGTGAACAACATCCTTCGCAATCCTTTCCTAATTGTCATATTTCATTGTCCCAAGAATGGTGGATAATGCTTTCTATAAGCTAATTAATCAAAGAGAAATAACATGAAAAATATCAGTCTCCAGTGTTAAGATATCATATATATGTAGAAAGAAACGATACAATCAGCATCACCTTGACAAAATGGATATTTTAATCAACTTGAGGCAAAAAATAATAATTTTACAGAAAGCAGATATTTGAACCCGAAACTTCTAACAGTGCAGAAAAGGAACCATATAACAATCTTAGTATCATTGTAGGCTTACTAATTCCTTCTCTGCTCTTGAATTCACCAGAATGATTGATCAATTTCAGTCCTAACATCAATGTCAATGTTCCTTAGCTTATCCAACTTAAATTGTCAACAAAAGCTTATAACCCTACACCATCCACAATCTAAATCATCAAACACATAATCGTAATGGCCATTTACCTTCCCTTCACAAACAAGTATCTACAAGCTTCTTTTCCAGTCAACCATCAAAAACAAGTTTCGCTGTGCTGTTTGGATTAGAGTCACCATCAAGCACAACCTCCATAGCTCTAACAGAAGGCAAGTTACAATATAATATCCTTCTGTGGGAACCAGCATCACATGATTCAGTATTGAAAAAGATTCAACACGTTAAAAATGTTGTACATGTCAAAAATACCAAGATCGACATTTAACTGGTAATCTATATCTTATCAGACATTTCAAATCAATTTAATATTCAGTTGTTTTCTCTTGTATAGGGAAATGAATAGTTAGATTACAGAGTGCCTTTTCATTAGCTCAATATAGAGTAGTTTGTCAGTAAGAAATAATAAAATAAACTATCTAGTTGAAGCAAAGATAGTCCTACAATTTAATTCATTACCTTTTCCATTGTTTGATGCATGCCGTATGTACTAGTAAATGGATTCAAGGTTCTGTAGCAGTAAGAACAATTGAAAACCTAAATAATATTAATAATCTCATGTACAAAATCATTTAAACATGAAAAGATGAATCAAAGGAAGTGCAAGTTTTAACCTCAGGTTAATAAAACAAAGCAGTCCACTAAATATTATATTTAATTCTCTAAAGCATTTGCTCAAACAGTTGATAGGAACAGAATACGACAGAAGTAAAAGAAAAGGTAGCAACAATTTCAAATCCAGTGAACAACATATTAGAACGGAAAAACACTTACCATAATCTTAATATCTTCGACCAGATGTTTGAGAATTATAGAGAATAGATAAAATATGGCAGTCGATTGTGTATAGGCACCCTAAATTTTGGTGACCTTCTGTCATATTTAGAATTCTGGGACAATCTAGCACCCCCGTAGCTTCCCCTTTCAGGTCTCTGCATCACGCTGTTTCACGGCGACCTCGATGGTTTATGTCAAGACCCAAAGGCCATACTCTGAATCATCTTAAAATATCATTTCTCTCATCTAAGGGTAAACATACCCAAAAGCTCATATATATATATAACTGTGCAGGCTGATGAGGCCGCTATGAACATCTACTAATAGTCCAAAATATACAGGACTCATCTACAAGCCTCTAGAGATAACTGAACTGTATTATGATCGGGACACGGTCTCGACCTACCCATCAAACCTATATATATAAAATAGTCTCCAAGGTATAAACCTGGTAACTCCGAGAAAGTGAAGTGTGCCAACCAAGTTGATGTTTGACTCTGTCTACTGGGAAGATCTATCTAGCTGTCTATCAGGACCTGCAGGCATGAAATGCAGCATCCCCAACAAAAGGGATGTCAGTATGAAATAATGTACTGAGTATGTAAGACAACAGAATAACTGAAAGCTGAAACTGAACTGATAATATAATAACTGAAAGTAACTGAGAGTCAAAGATAATATGAAGATACGCTTACCTGCTGCTACTGACTCAACTCTCTTAATATAGTAAGTAAAATAGTTGTCCGGCCCTATAAGGCTCGGTATATATATATATAACTGCTTTGCCGTAGTAGGCTCGCTCATAGGCGCTAGGGCATACTAGGCTCTGTATCTCGGCCATGCTGGCTCGCTCATAGGCGCTCGACCACAGTAGGCTCGGCATATAACTTACCATCTGATCAGAGGTTGCCCAATAGGGGCCTGCCCATCGATTGTAGCTCGATGGTAATGAAAATACTCTATATGTAGGCTCTCTGCTCGCTTGACTGGAAGAAAATAATACTCAATTGAATATGATAAGGGAGGATACTATAACTTATGAGACCAGAAAAATGTACATGAATTCAGGAATATGAATTTCTCTTTATGCCTTGTTATCAAACTTGAGTAATTACGAGATCATGCCAAAATGAAGGAAGGGCTTAGCCTTAACATACATGTATTATCTCTTCCTTATTACTCAACCAAGTTCAACACAACTTCTTGCATCTACAACAAGTGAAATGATATTGTCGTTAACATATATTGGCGTACCATCGTATTTGGCTAGTCGCATGACTTAAGGAAAATCGGGCAGCAACTCCCCTATTTTAATACATCCCAAAGACCACTAAGGGTCATCAATAGCCCAACAATAACAAATATAACTAATACTAGCAACAACAACAATGTAATTCAATATGAGTTTCTCCGATTATCTTAACAATCATATTGAGCGACAAGCTCGTTTTTTTTTACACATAACAAGATATAAACTGAATCCAACTCTTATTCCATAAATTAGTTTACAACCTTCAGAACATCATACTTATATGTATCATATTATTTCTCGTTTAAAACCTCCACAAAATGCCTTCCAAAATAGTCTCATATGTCTAGCACCTTAATTTTTACCGTCAATCAATTCTTTTTCATCTTTTCTTCTTCAATTAACTTAATTAACACCTAGGAAAGCTTAACCACAGAAGCCACAACATTATCAAATTATTTCTCATAATTTTCAGCTACCACAAACCATATTTTTAACCACAAAATAGTCCAACCAAAAAGACAACTGTATCCCATGTTCCTTCAAGTGAATCTTATGATTTTTCATTCAAACAACACAACCAACACAAGATTAACCTTAGGCATAATCAAGAAGATGTTATACATACCTTGGACAGCATCTATACCTCGAAACCCCATCCCAATTTAGCTCACAATAGCCCTCAATCACACCACAACATCATAGAAGTATTATCTTGTAGTCTTTAACACCTTTGATGAGGATTTGTATTGATTTCTATTGAGTTTAGTTCTTGGAACATTGGACAAGTTCTTGGAGAGTTTGAGAGTGTTTTAAAGAAATATATATCCGGATATTGACGAAATATAATGGATAAAGACAACTTATAAGCCCACCACCTCAATTCTCCAAGCAGGTGGGTAAGCTGCCTGCTTGACAGCTTGAGCAGTGCCATTTCAGACACTTGTATCTCTCTACTCCGATATCGTATTGACAAAAGGTTTGCAGAGTTAGAAACTAGACACATAGAAATTTAATTCCATATAAAGATCTCCATGTTACTCTAAATATATTGGGAGAAAACTACGTTTCAACTTGGCCTATAAACCTGCCAGTTTCTCCAAAGTGCAGCAGCGTGACTTGATGACCCTTATATTAAAAATTCATATTTCTATACCCGATATCGTATGAATAAATGGTTTAGACCATTGGAAACTAGGTTCTAAGACCTTCATTTTGGTATGATATATGTCCCAAAGTGACATCATAAAGCTTAGGAATTTAATTTCTCAAAACGGTTCGTTACAAGGCAAATCTTAACTCGATTTTTCCGCAAGTTAAACCAAAATTTTCCAAAACATTATAGTTTATGTCCAAACATCATATATAGTCATATTATGACTTTACACTCATTCAATCATGATTAACAAGTCTCATATTCATTATACATTACCTTAGAACGCATAAGGTGTAACACCAAACTTGTCAACTTTCGACAAAATTTATCTTCTTTAATTCGTTTAGCTTCTAAGCCTTCCAACTATCTTGGTACTTGTTATTCATGATCTTAAATATTATTAACTTCCACGATAACATGATTAACTTACTTTATAAATTTTTCAAAGATGATTTCATTTCTGAGCTTACATCAATTGACTTATGATGTACTTTTAAGTACAAAAATATGGGGTGTAACATCATTCCCCCCCTTTTGAACATTCCTCCTCGAATGTTGACTGATGCACTTATCAGTCTCATAACCCATATCTATACGAATATTTAAATATTGTCCTTGCTATCTAGCCAACTGCTTTATGAATAAATCCAAAGGAGAGGGCATTTCCTCCCCTTTAGGACACTTTCTTACACCACGAATCGTAGTCAGAAACCTTACAATCTCGTAACTATTGCTACCTTCTATCATGCAGCATGTACCACTTTTTCCTTATATGTGCGCCTATACGACTCTTTCCTCCAGTTTTTTCCTCCAATTTTTAGCCAATATCTAGGTATCACCTTGTAAACATATATAGAGCTTGACTAGATGTCCCTCTAGGAATCCATAGGTATACTGAAGTTCTTCGCTTGGTACTTTGATGAACTTACAAATATTGCTATACCTTACTTCATGGATCTGGTTATCTATCCATATGACTTTACCGCATTTAGGTAGGTCATACTGTAATTATTGAGGCATGCCACCAAACTCCAGGTTATTCTTGTTGCTTATCCTATGTGCATAAATCTAAATCCTCTAATGCTTCCTCATTACTATTCATATTAAGAACGATGGACTAATCTTATCTTATACTTTGTGACTTTTGTCCATTCATTGTTGATTCACCTTACATGGGTGTGTCAATCCTGTACAATTCATGAAATCTCCCTTTTTCAAATAATTACTCAATCAAAGGCCCAAAAGTTATCCCTTATTTATCATAACTACATCCTCATTCTATTACCAAGGCAGCATTTCATCTCTTCTAAATGCTACTAGTCTTAGACTCCTTTAAGTTCTTTTAGACTATACTGACCTTTCTATAACTTACAAAAACCATTAGCTCTTTTGTTTTTCTGGGCTTAATTCCGAGGACTTATCCATTTCTCCTCACCTTCTTACTCGCCCTTTCTTGTCCTTACTCATGTCTTCCTAAAACCCGTCGCTTTACCATACTTTAGCTTGCAACCTATACATGTCTATTTATACTACTCGCAACCTTTCTTTAACTTGCTCGCACCATAGATTTCCTTGTGTTATTCTGGATCATCAAGCGAGACATCACATCATCTCTAACTCTTCTTTACTCTCTTAATCAGGCTTCCCGATACCTAGAACCCATAGGCTGGAAGGCATGCCACCGCTATCTTTCCTGGATACTGAATCCCAATGCTTCTAGCCTTCTATCCGAAGTAAGGACTATTCACAACCTTCTACACTTGAGTGTCTCGTATGTTGTTCACCTTTACGTTACTTGCTTTATTATCTCGCATCACGTCTTCTATATCTTTCATAACTTCCCTTCTACATAGGTATGATTTACATCCACAACTTGAAGTTCTATTATAATACTTACACCCCTGGTGCATACCCAATCCGGTGGGAGCTTTATACTAACTTCTTATTAGGCTGGTACGTTTCTAACTGGATTTCTCGTATAGCCGTTATATAATATGGTTGTCGTACTATCTCTCTTGTATCTCTGATATTAATGGTGATCCTGCAATGTTCTTAATCACGATTTCTATAATTTTCTGGGTCCAATAATCAGACTACTGATTTACTTGGTTGATGTATCTCGTTAGTTTCATCTTCCTTCTGATCAGCCTTTATATAGGCTTAATCTATCTTCCGATCTGTGGCTTATAGCATTTAGTTATTGCCTTAGCCCTTCATGGACGCTATGGAATATCCATGATACAATCTTCTAACAATTCAATCCTTTGTCTATGACCTGGACTCAATTCTTTCTTTTAACTTATATCGTAGTCTTCTACGACTATATGATTGTCAACATATATGCTGTATAGATAATACTTCGAACTCTTAAGTGCGTTCATAACGTAACT